AGAAGAACATGATATTTAATAAATAAAGGTAACGCACAGAACATTAAAAAAACGTCCTTCTCGGTGTAATGTGAAATCTGAAAGCTTTCAGATTTTTAGTTTTTTTCATTTTAATTTTAGTCCATTTTTTTAAACGTTTAAACATTAGTTTATCTGTAACAACAACGTAGTTCCCATTTCCTTTTTTCTTTTATATACTGAATTAATGTAATATATACATAGCTTATGTGATATAAGGGAAAAGAAAAACGTTATGCAGTAAATGTTTTTAGTTTTATAAAAGACATATTGTCAGTTACATGGCATAAATTTATGAATATGTTCATGTTTCTATATAAATAAATTTTGTTTTTCTCTATATAAGGAGATTAAAAAAAGCACGAGTTTAGTTTTATAAAAAAACAGGTTGCCAGTTACATGGCATAAATTTATGTCCATGTTTGCTTTTAATGTCTCTAGATTTTTTTTTTTTACCCTATATAGGTAGATTTCAGAAAAAAAGTATATAAAAGACAGACTGCCAATTACATGGCATAAATTTAGGAATGGGTTCATATTTGCTTTTCATTTTATTTTGCCCTATAAAAGAAGAATTGATTTTGAAAAAAGTGTTTAGATTTATAAAAGACGGGTTGTCAGTTACATGGGATAAATTTATGTTCATGTTCATTTTTCATGTTTCTATATAATTAAATTTTGCTTTGTCCTTAAGAAAAGATTATAGAAAGGCATGTATTGAGTTTTATGAAAGACAGATTGTCAGTTACATGACATATATTTATGTTCATGTTCGCTTTTAGTGTGTCTAGATCATTTTTTACCCTATATAAGGATATATAAAAAAAACAGCATGTTTTTATTATTATAAAAGATAAGCTGTCAGTTACATGGCATAAATTATGAACGTATTCATGTGTTTAGATAAATAAATTTTGTTTTGCACTATCTAGTAAGATTATAAAAAAGCATGTGTTTAACTTCATAAAAGACATGTTGTCAAGTAACATGGCTTAAATTTATAACTATGTTTATGTTTCCTTTTCATGTCTCTAGACGAATATTTTTCCCTATATAAGGAGATTTCAAACAAAATTAAAAGCTGTACTGAATTAATAAGCATATATGCAAGTCGGTTGGTTTGGTGTATGTGATTACATCAAAGCCTCGAGGACTACCTGCCCAAGGGAAGAAATGCCTTCGTAGAAGACATTTTAAGGGAAACTGGTTCGTACACATGTTACACATAGGAAATACCTCCGCATACAGACAGCCCATTTGCGGTATTCGAACCTCTTACCGAGCTACCAGAGAGTAGCGACTTTACCGCTGGATCGCTGTTGGGCCATCATAAACGCAGGTATAATGTTAGCAATTTTTATTAATTTATTTGATTTGATGTTACACTAATTAATGTGTTAATACAGTTAGTCAAATGAGACAGATCTCTCATTATTTGGAGTTGTAATACAGTTTGCAAAAGAAAACTAATGTTTAAAAATTAATTTACTGCGAGAAGGGATGCATAATCAGTTAATGTAGATTTATTTAATTATTCGCTGATCAAAAGATTCTGTTAATAAACACTCAGTTTATTACTGTCCAGGATTTCGATTCAAAGAAATTGTTTAGCCGATTTCTTAGTTTCTGAAGTTCACCAGTTTTTTTTTTTTTTTTTTTGCATAATTTTTTAACCATGAACATTACCCGGAACATTCTCGTTAAATCCAGTTTTACTTTTATATAACTATTTTTAATAAGGAGGAACTAGAGAACTACAATCAGTTTGGAAGTTGAACATGGTTAGAAATATGTGTAAAATATGCATCAAATTATGTACAGTCCATCTGCCATTCTTACTTTCATAAAATATATGCTACAATTATAGAAACCATTATCCAACGGAAAGCATAAACAGCATTTTATTTATGAAGTACACCGCGTTTTACGTTGTTAAGACTATTACTGAAATTTCAGTATTAATGGCGTGGAAGCTATGTAATACAGTGTGAAAAACATAGCTATGAGAAATTTACCGCATCATTAAAAACAGAAGATTAGGGAATGTTTCTGCCTATTGCCCTCTTCACCTGATCTACTTAATGCTGATTAGCACAAATTAACAAATTTCATGTAGAAAAATGTATCATTATATTAACGAAACAAAACTGTGTAATTTTATATTATTTTTTAATATTTCCATGCGTTGCAATTGTTGTATATAATGTGCCCAACATTCTTAGATGTATTCACATATATTATTATTCATTATCCGTGCCATATTATTGAACGCAATTCATTATATGTGCTGTATTATTGTACCCAATTCATTATACGTGCTATATTATTGTACGTAATATTATATGTGCTATGTTATTGTACACAATTTTTCCTTTTCCGAATTTATTAGAAATTTCAAAACGTACATAATGACGTAAATACTTAACACATATAAAAATGTTTATAGAATATATAAATATATGACATATTTTGCGCTGTGGTGCGTGTTGTAAATTTTATTGAATTTCATGTTCCAAATAAAACATCACACTAGATATATCAAATTATCTATATGGTTCCGATTTATAGAAATATAGGTATACAGATATGTAAACTAAATATATTTGAGTTTTTTTACACTACTCATCCAATTATATCTTTGAGCTTCACTTTAAATGGAACATCATTATCAGAAACAAATCTAATTATCACACTGCATTTATAAATTAGGAGTCGGCAGGAAGCTAACATACTGAAATCGTTTAAATTATGCCTACAAAACTTCCTTTATTAAGGTAAGAATCGCTTATATTACATCAGGAATTGAAAGGCTTTATCCGATATATTTTGGCTTAAATTATCTGAGTTAAAATATGAAGAGCTACTATAACTACCAGCTAATGAAAGCATTTTTTAAGAAAATATTATGAACTCTTTTGTATACTACAATTATGAAATGTTACATATCTTCCCAGAAAAATGAATACAAATATTTGTATTGTTCAAATACTTAAGGTACAAGGATAATTTTTAAAATACTGAAGATTTTATAAATGAGCATCTTTGTATTGGTAGCGCTAGAAAAATCTGTTGAATTTGGATTTGTTTTAGCGAGATTCTCCTGTATTCATTAGTTACTGTAATGTAACTAATGAATTACTGTAATGTATTCATTAGTTACTGTAATGTAACTAATGAATACAGGAGTAACTTGTTCGTTAGTTACTGGAAGTTTTTAATGCAACAATGTACGCGTAAAGGGGCCATTATGGGTTTTGTTAATGTGGTTTTTAATTTTCCTTTGCACTTTTACCATCATCTGACATAAAATTTAAATTAAAAATGATAGTCAGCGCTATTTTTGATTAACAATTATTATGCCCTTAATTTTCATTGGAATGAAGGAATTCCTTATTAATCCATATCATACCTTATGCTGATGAGCAGCACACCTATAATCTAAAATTTGATATTCTGAGGAATAAAAAGAATAATGAAAACATACTAAAAACGAACATGAATAATATGCTTAAGAGTCTCATAAGTGCCACGCTAACAAGTAGCAAATTAGAGCTTAACGGATTTTTGATTTGTTTGGGCTAAGCCTTTAGATACGGGAAGCAAGTGAAGACAAACAAAGTTTTGAAACTGAAGTTTAATTGGACTGCTTGCAATCTAAGAATATATTTATAATTTAAATCACAACGCTGCATCATCCTAGGCTCATAAGGATGATTATTTTAATTAATAGTATTCCTTTTCCCCAACCAATGAAAATGTGGGAAAAAATTTAACTAGCAATCTTAGTTTAATACCAACTGGGAAAATGTTTATTGTCCGTATATAATATATAAAGTATATTCTTATATATTGCAATATATAAAGTATATTCTTAGTTTAAGTACTAGATAGTCAGTTTATTCACTACTTTTGTTTTCCTTAGGATCATATCTTTGTTAGTTAATTATTACATTCTAAGAGCAAAACATACAAGACGCATATTTACTCAAAGAAATTATTACAAATGGATAAGGATAAAGGAAACTTTGCAGTCAGCAGATATATATATATTAGACGAAAACTTATTTTGTATAGAAGTTCACAAATCTAAAATTAACACGTGTTTCAAGATCATAAACCACATCTTTTCCCATTATTAGATAGAAATATTGGGTTTGTCTAAGATAAAAGATTTTGTTTTATTGGGTTTATTTAGAATTAGAAATAAAGTTTGGGTTTACCTAACTTATCGTTAATCTTAATTTAAATAACAGTAAATTTTAAACACATTTTAATTACATTTTTATGCAAAGATTTCTTTTCCTTGTGAAGAAAACCATACAATCTTTGTCGATATCGCCATAGTAAATGTTTTATTTCATAAATTTAATGGCATACGTGTATGAAAATTATAGGCTTAAACTTAGAGATCTACATGTTACTACAGTCGTATGATACGTAATACCATATTTATATCATTTTAATGATAGAAATTGATTTAATGGAAAGTAATATGATTATTTATTTACTTGTTAGGAAACATTTCAACGTTTCCTCTAAAGTTTAACAGATAAGTTTATGTAAAAACCTGGAACTTGTTCTAAATTGTTAAAATGCTTTGGGGTGTCATAGAATCGCACTCAAAAGTAATCTAAATTTTAACTTATCATTTTCAATATCGTTCTCTTCTTATAGAATTATTCTTAAAAGAGAAAGAAAGAAGTTAAATTTTAAAGCACGTAATCATTTAAATGGAATTAATATGTAATTAAACTGCATCTGGTCTAGAATAATACAACTATATTATTTTAGTTGAATACTAAATTTTAAAAATATATATTCGGTATTATATTAAAGCGAATATCAAAGCTTGAAATAGCTTTCCCCTATATTAAAATTCAGGAAAACTTTCAGTGTTACGCTAAATTCCAGAAGAACTTATATTAAAATTAATTGACATCATGCACAACTTTTTTATGAATATTCTGTAGCTTGCTACTCACCGTATACAAAGCAGATTGAAATTAAAGTAAGTGAATACACTCGGAAGAACATATTTGCTACAAACCCACGCCGAATAGCACGTTGATATCAGATGCTCACTCACTCACGTTGACCGCACCGTTTTAGAATCAGTCAGAAAACAGGACACGCAAATGTTTCCCGCGCCGATCTTCGGCTAAAATCCCGCGAATCGTTGGGATCACTCAGACTCTATTTTCCTCGTGCAGTCGCCCTCTGGTGGCAAAATGAAACATTGCTATTCATAATTTTTTTTCTTCACTAGGGAATTCAAATAGAGAGCGTACAATATTCATACTGTGGCATTCTTTTAATTTTTCAGCGATTAATAAATGAGCCGTTTTCTAATGCAGCTTTGGAAAGAATAACGAGGGAGAAAAAAAAATAGAAGATAAATATTTCAATACCATCCATTGGGAAATACATTTTAACGGAAAAATTTGGAAGTAAGCTAATTAGTTCTCTTTCATTTTATAACGATCTGTCATTATGAGTCTCAAAGCCTAATGGTATAGTTCAACTACTGGTGCTCCAATTTTCGTGCTCACCCCTGTAAAGTTGTTTTGTGCTGATTATATCTATCCATGCCAAGAAACAGGATTTACAGTAAGTTCTCTTGAAAATTCGTAACTAATTATCTTGAATAAAACCTGAATTTCCTTTTATATTTTTAAATGCTTACGAATTACATACTATATGTAATTCAGTTTCTGTCAAAAAGCAGGTTATTTGAAAATAGACCCTGAATACCATTAAATAATTTTATTCAAAGTGTCTGGCCAATTTGGATTCAAAGTATCTGGCCATATATCAATGCCAATGATCTATGTTTTGCTTGTTTACTTTCCGATATAATTTAAAATATTATAAAGCATTTTCTCGTTCCTTTCTGCACATATTCGTGGTGTAATTGGGAGCATACTCGGCGATTATTGGATAAGGCTTCCGTTCGAGTCCTGGCAAGAACATTGCGCATTCTTGACGACTCTTGCTTAAAATAACCTAATGACTCTACAAGATGGTAGATGATAATTCGTCTCCAACAAAATTTGGCGATTGGGTCCGCTAATCCTCTCTCGTTCTTTAAAAAGGAGGCAATATATAAAGTATTTTCTCCCTCCTTTTCGTATGCCTTCGTGGTGAATATGGAAGCATACTTTTCGAGTATTCTAGAGCTCCAAGGTTCGAGATCCGGCTAAAGCGTTCCACAATTTTCACTTCTCCTGCCTCTCAGAGAACCTTTGACGGTACAGTGTAACGCTTATTTTAAAATCTATAAATTGCAGCTCTTCCTTACTAAAGTAATTTCCATCTCCTCTTAATTTACTGTCCATTATCTGCTCATATACGTTTAAAAGAAGCATTCCTAATTACTTGCTTAAAATATTTAAATGCATATATAACGGACATAAACTTTATACGGTATTTCTCCCACCTTCCTAGCGTGCCTTCGTGGTGTAGTGGTTCTGCACGCTGGGCCGGTATTCCAGAGGTCCGTGGTTCGATTCCCGGCGAAGGCGTTGCATATTCTTCATCTTGCCTGCTACCTAAAAAATTACCTAATGTCTCCACAGTGGCGCACGAACTAAAAAGGTGTTGGATGAGGATTCTCCACACCCAGGATTTGGCGATTGGGTTCCCTAAAAAGACCAGTCACCCTTTAAAAGGGGGAGTATATAAGGTATTTCTCCCACCTTCCTAGCATGCTTTCGTAGTGGTTCTGCACGCTGGGTTGGAATTCCAGAGGTCCGTGGTTCGATTCCCGGCGAAGGCGGTTGCTAATTTTTCATCTCTCCAGCTTTTCCAATTAACCTAATGTCTCTACAACCTTTATGCGAACATAGGTGCGAGAAGTTATTAAATTACAAAATAACATATTCCTAGATGTACTGAATATCAAGTATCGAATACTTTTAAGTATTTTCAAATACACATAACAATATAAATCCATACCAAATGTCACGTAAAGTATCAGTAAACCACGCCGAAAAGCATGTAAATTTTAATATATAAAATAGCAATAAATAGTGGAGTTTACTGTTAGTTTCTTTTTAAATTGTTGAACTGTAAATAACTCTAGACTACGAGACACTGACTGACTCTCCACGTACCAGCAGGGTTTACTTAGCTTTTGGCTTCCGTTCGAGAACATTCTAAGCCAAATGTGTAAAAATTCGTTCCAGAAGGTTCTCCATCCGTCTATGGCATATCGCAAATTTTGACGGCAGATACCGGTAAATAAGCGATTTTGCCCCAAATATGGCAACCCTGCCTTCCCTTGCCATTATCTGGTAACCCTAAACCTGCTTTGCGGGGAAGCTATCTTACCATTACCTGGGCATTTTGTAACAATACGTTTAAGATGTCATACATTAATATAAATTTAGCTTGCTATATCATTAAACGTATTCGTTTATTTATTAGGTGTTTGTTGCCAGTATTTGCTTTCTGCCATGCACCCAATTCACGGATAAAAGTTTGGATAATTAGTCTTAAAATTTTATCGTAAACAGTAAGTTTACGCTTTTACAGTAAGTTTAGGGTTTTAGAATAAGTTTATTAACAATGTTTATTTTATGCCATCCTCAGACCATCCGTTTGGAACTAGTATATTAGATCGCATAAGAAATTATTTCAATTATTCACAAATTTCATCGCGGTTGACAAATTTTATAAAAGGTACAGAAATAAGCTTTCTCAGATTGTGCAAAGAATTCCTTTAATTTCTTTATTGGGGTCAATACAAAGCTAAATTTGCTTACAAATTCGCAGTTTGCAATAAATATTATTGATACCTTTTTGATTCACTTTCCCATACATTAAACTTGCTTCACCAGTAGTCATCTGAATAATTCGAAATGTGTATTGTATTTTGAAAAAGTAAGTATTAGAAAGTTTAGTATATGGCAAAAAGTCTTTGATAGATACATAATTTTTTGTGAGTGTGTTAGACGTTTTGAATTCAGCATTCAAATTTATATAAAAAACAGGTGAAAAGATTGAACATCTCAATAACATTTTTTTTGAAAAGATTTGACATCTCATGTAAGTATAGTTATAGGACTTAGCTGCCGTTTATGTTCGGTATGCCATTCCAAATGTGCATATGTTCATTAGAAGTCATTACAGACCTGTGCAGAGGAGATTTTGTTTTCTTTGGCTGTCAGTTTAGCCGACTTAGGCTTGGCCACTGGTAGATCCACAAGTGTTGGGCACTTTACTGTAGAAGCACCTTACACCGTTCAGTCACTGTTTGAAATCAGGTTCAGCCACTGTCCGCGAAGGAGGAAAATCTCGCCAAGTCTGGTATATCAGGAGGAGGAAGTTCTTGTCAACAGGTTCTGTGGCCAAATCCCTTGGCGAATTTTCCCCCTTCTTTCTAGCACCGTAGAAGACAAACTGGTTTACATTACGTCTATGGATAGACGTTCTTTGCCTTTGCATCCTATGAAGGAACGGACAGTTACATCCGTGATATCTACGGGATTCGAACCAGGGCCCTTCGGTATCGTAGTAGACTCCTCTAACCATTACACCGTCTGATTGGCCTCTCAGAGAAGACACTATATGTGAAATGATGAAAGCACCTGAATGCAGATTTAACTTCAACTATTTATTCATTTTGGTAGCAAAAAGAGAAACTCTCATCTTTTCCAAATTTAATCCCCTAGTCGGAATAAATTGCATTCATCATTTAATTTCGTAAATTCTTTCTGTTCTCTTATTAATAACAATCTCCTATCAGCAATTCAGCAGTGTAATAAAGGAGCAGTGTAAGGACGTATTTCATCATCGCTTATTCCGCAGTACAAAATTTAACAAAATGATTTCCACAATAAAATGATATACTATACCTTGGAAGCAGAATTTATTCTATATTAGTATTATTTAATTATTTTCATTATCTTAGACCTCATATAAAACTAAGTATAATAAAATATTATAACTTAAATAATATAACTATTAAATAACTCCCACGTTATATCTTTAATCAGGAAAAATTATAAAATTTCCTTTTAATTACTTGCTATTTATTTTCATCCTCTAGTTAGCGAATTAAATTTATTAATGAATTTACGTAATTTAACTCTGAAAAAAAAGCAGTAAGTTCAAACGAGCGTGGATCAAGAATCACAGCGGTGCTAAGCTTTATCGTGAAGCCTACATAATCAGTCGTAGGAATGACATTTAAGCTATAATTATAATTCTGTTAGATTGCTGCCGTTCAAAACGTTTGAAGGCCTTAATTACATTGAGAACTTCGAAACAGTTTCCTTACTCGGAGATTTATTGCATATTTTATAAAATATAATTACTAATTTTTAATTAACAGAGGAAATAGCTGGAATAAAATTAAATGCTTTCATTTCATGCAAAAACTTACTTCTTGTTTAAAATTATAATGTTGAAGTATAAAATTGTAGTGGTCAGAAAAACCAATCATTTGATTTCTTGACGTATAAAACATTTTGTTATCCCGAGATGAGAGAGAAGAAATCAGGGGAAGTTCCGTATAATGTACGTTTAAAATAGTACAATTCATTCCCAAAAATGAGATATATACTTTAACACATAAGCTACTAAAGTTACATAAATTCTGATAAGCAGCATAAAGCAGGCTTTATCGAAATAGTACGGAAAACTGGCTTGTATTCACGTAACACATACCAGGACCATACAGCCAGCGTGCACATCGGAAGCTGAGCCCGAAGTACGTGTGTTCAACGGTTTTAAAAATTCGCCCATTTATAAGATATCATCTTCCTTTTTCCAACATGAGTTCGTGGCGCAATGGTAGCAGACTCGGAGCGTATTCGAGAGGTCGAGGTTCCAGTCCTGGCAAGGGCACTGCACATTTTTCACTTCGCCTGATCAAAGAAGTCCTAATGCCTCTACACATTTATTAAACATTCCATCGAGAAGTTGTAGAGACATTAGATTATTTTTTGAAAGCAGGAGAGATATATATGGTCACTTTACTTAACCTGTTCCGCCAAACTGAGTTAATGGCACTACAGGGTTAGGAAGTCATCCTAGTCATTGCTAGCAATATGACGGTTAGGCCGCCTTTCTACATTTTACATTAATCTGTAGTTTCTTGAATATAATTATTTTCATTCACTTGCTTCATTATCTCTA